AGAATAGGTATGAACTTCGCCTCGCAATTTGCCGCGCGCGCCCAGGGACGCACGACTTGACCGTCGCCCGATATGGGTCGGCAACAAGCAGATGCGCAACTTTCTCAATCGAGTCGCTCACGGACAGATTCCTGGGCATCGTCGCTTAGGATCTGGAAGACCGCTGACTTCCTGTAGCCCCGACAACTCCGCAATGGTCTACGATGGTCAAAAAGTTGCCGATCTCGCCGACCTCAGACGACGCATCAAATTTGCGTGGCAAAAACTTTCGATTTCGTTCGTGCGGAAAGCCATGGAAGAATTCCGTGATCGAGTACAATGTGTTGTTGATTTTACGGGTGGTAATATTCAGTCAGAATATAATAAAGTTTGATTACATTGGTGGTACAAGCCGAGCAGTGAAAGTGTCTCTTTTTTTGGGCACCCTTGTATAACGGCTTTTGCGAGTTCCTTGGCTGGGGCTCGCTGTATACGGATAGCGATTTGCCTTTGTTCGCATATTTGTGATTCACACGGAAAAACTGTGGAATACTGTTCTGATATTTTGCATATTGATTGCCTTGTCATTGTATGTTAATTTTCGTTTACTATTGGATTAAGTTCGGTTACTCGGGTTTGAGGTTGAAAATTACCCGCAAGATACCCTCGTGACTGTTGATTAAGTAGTTCGATTACTGGTCGAGCTTTGTCTGTTTATCGGATTTCCGACTTCAAAAATGTCGAGCAAGAAGGGAGAAACTGAAGCTCGATGTATATTTGGGCATTCCACAGTAAATTTAAATAAAGACAAACACGTACCGTCACTGTCTGACGATAGACTGTTGGATGGAGTCGAGGAATCCGATAAGCAGCCTAAACCTGATTAATTGTGCGCCCATTCCAACTCAAATGTAAGTATGTGAAGATCATCCTGAGGCTTTGCGAAAAGCAGCTTGTCTAAGTGCTGACGCCATTTTTACGATACTGATTCCATTGAAAGGTTTAAAAAACTCGAGCAATTTCCAGCTGCTATGGAACCTTTACTGTTTTCTCTTCTTTTCTGCTCTGCTACCCACCTCAGCGGCACTGTAGTACTGCCGACATTTCCGAGCCGTTGAGGTCTTCTTCAAATTCGTCAATTCTCGACCGCGCCCTTCATCACTCAGGCATAGGGAAAGTCGAGGAGTTAAAAAAGTAGCGCTCAGAAATCCCCTCGAGTTCTATGGACTATATGCGAGGGGTATCGTGGAGTGAACGACCTAACTAAAAGAAGGTACTTTAACAAATTAACTAGGGAATATGGAGTGGGGTCGATGGAGCGCAATATCATCGATCTTATGAATAATGTGGAAGGAAGCGGAGGTCACAGAAACTGGGGAGGTTTCGAGCTCTACTACGGCCGAGAACACATCAAATGAATTGGTATCAATAACAGTAGCTAAGCCCTTTGAAGACTCATTGGTATCAATAACAGTGGCTAAGCCCTTTGAAGACTCTATCTTCGCTGTCAACAGGATCACCGTCCGAATTGAGGCTGTAAGTATAGGAAAGAAGGGTACTGTGCTGTTATACCCGTGTGCGCGCCACAAGTAGGATGCCTCGATTAAGCAAAGCTTGAATTACACCTGATAATTGAAGATGCCGCTGGTCCAGATACAGAAGGAAACATTCTCACCATAGATGGTCACGTTGGCAGTAAACTTCCAAAAAACAGCAGCAGGAGACAGGGGAGTAGGAATCAGAAATAAATAAGGAGATAGGGGTGTCGATATTCCCGATGAGGTGTCTAGTCTGTTATTTTCTGAAAAATAAACTGCGGAAACTCCAGCAGTTGAGGCGTGCAGCAACGCTTTCCGATTGTAACCTATCTGGTGACATGATAGCAGTCGTGTAGTTAGCGAAATCGGAAAACTGAAATGCCAACGCAATTCCGCGAGGGGTGTGCTGCAGGAACTACTGTCTTAGCTAATTCCTGCACGAACTCTCGATAGTTCGTATGGTTACTGTCGCTTCCTTTCCATCTTTCTCAGGTTTTTAGTGAATCTTATGAAATTTTACTGTGTCCGATTTCGCTCTTGGAACTTGAATTCCCTTTTATGGTTTTGTTGAGTTGCTTATTACGCTATTGAGTACGCATTCAAATGGGACAGTTTCACTCTCGCAAAATTACTTTAAATTATTTTTGTCCTACATTCTTTCCCGTTTTTCGTTCATTTTTTTCGAAATTCAATCACTCAGAGATGTCGCTCTGGGATGTCACNTGAGCAATTACAGTTCCAGATGTAAAGTGATGAGGCTGTTCTGAGTGTCGATATTTGAACTTGGATTGACTTGTGATAATCCTCGGCGCGTTTTTGCATGCTTCGGATTTATTCATAAGCTGAGAATGTCGTACGTTCGAACTATGAGAAGGTGCGTACGTCTTTGTAGTTTCAGCGTACGATGCCTCGGTGTTTGAGACGAATAATAAATGGTATGAATAAATGGGAGCGAGTTGAAGCAAGTTATAATCAACCCTCTGGCTATCTACTTTCATTTTCTGTAGTGGAACTGTTTCTATCTATTATATTTCCATCTAGAGGATGGATCAAGCAGGACAAAGGTGGACAGTAGCAGGACAGTATGTCATCAATGGAGCCGCTATCACTTGTGAATTTCGAGATCGATCTTTACCAAGCTCTCTCAGCCATAGTCATAATCTCAGTATTAGAAAAACTTGAACACGTTGGTATTCCTTCATCGAAATTAAGCTTTGTATCATACAACCGCCCTTCCGAGGAGAAAGCTTGAGAAGTTGAGTTCGACAAATATGACATTCAGGAAACCTACGGGTAGGTGTCTAGGTTGAAATCCGCCAACATTCACTGCGATTCTGAGAGTGAAGCTTGATTAAGTCATGAGTGATATATGCCAGTTCTTCATTTCAAGCCTCCGGTTGAAAAATCAAGCGCGGGAAGTGGATTGAGCTATAAAAAACGGGCCGAATTGAAACGGTTGTTAAATCCGAGCTCGGCAGCTACTCATCTGGGCGAAGTTCTCTTGATGAACCCATAGGTGTTACTTGCTAAGCTGAGTACTTTAAGAAGCGCTTCATACTTTTCCTTTTGATCAACTGAGTAAAGCTTTTTTTTTAAAAAA